GCGTTCTTGTCTCTTCCAAGGTGGGAAGATGGATAAGAACCCTGATCTTCCAGTGTGGATAATACCAACCTTCAACTGCAAATAACTTACCTTGCCAGCTTGTTAGTCTAGAAAAATGTCCAAATCAGGTGACTTCCCTGGAGGAGCGTAGCGGTTGCCTCTCTTGCCAGGATATTAAAAATCTATGCTGGCAATAGGGAAGTGGTGGATGGGCTAACAGAAGCCAGCATCCCTCCTTTCTCACTGGTTCTTTCTCGAGTCACATGCTCACAAGAAATTCCCTGTGGCTGAATAAAGATTTTGCAACTTTCCTTCTGCCTAGTTATTGCTACCACGTGGGAGCTTGTACTGCCTTCTCTGGGTCCTGTCATTAGCTAAAGGCCTGTCAAGAAGTCCGTAATGGGTTGTGGTTGGCTGCCAGCAAATTGGGAGAGAGTTCGTACTATAGGCAGCAACTATCACAGACTTCATCAAACAATCTTATTTAAACTCTTGCTAAGCAATCATTAGATAAAACAGTACCATTGGGTCATCTTTGGGACCACTGGGGAATCTGGAAGGCTACCGGGCAAAGGCCCTTCCCAAGTACACGACTTGGGCTTTACTTTTTGTTCCTGTGGTTCTTCTGCAGTGTCAAGGCTGTCAGGAAACACAAGGTAACACCTCAAGGGATTAAGTAGCATAGGGCCCCTATAGTCTTATTAAAATAACGTTGTCACAGACCTGCATGGGCTTGCTAGGCTCAGGCCTCAGAGCTAGTCATTTCTAGTACATATAATTTCTCCAGCAAATGTACAGTTGGGTGCTAAGGGTATTGTTTTTATAAATACCTCGACCAGCTCCCTGTCTTGCATTGGCTTTAGATCTAAACTTTTACTCCTTTCTCACAAAGTTCATGTCCTTTGTGGGAGTAAGTCATTGAGATGGCTGAGGAAGGGAAGTGTGTTGTAAAATGTTACTCTTTGACCCTGGGCTTGACAGTTGTCTGGCAGAATTGTTGGTGTGTCTGGCTGCTGCTGAGCTTCACTTCCTTAGCAGGACCTCAATATTTGTGAAGGGGAGGCAGATTTGTTCCCCTTTATATTTCAGCCTGAATATAATGCACAGCTTTCATAAAAAGCTCCCCAGGCCCCAACAACAGGAGGCTCTGTCTTCTATGTCCTCTTCTGTCCTCTAAAGCTAGAAAGGAGAGTTAGTTACTTCACAGGGGATCAAGACTAAGCTGATTTATAGAAATCTTCATTGTTCTTTTGCAGTTTCCCATTTCCCCTGCAATGCCCTTGTGAAAGGGGGCAGCGACACTTGTAGGGGAAAGAGAGAGGGTTGAAAGTAAGCTGTAATGCTGTACATTCAGGTCCCATGCTCACTGGTCCATGCTCAAACATTCTTGTTTGCACACGGGTATCTTTGAACAATTGCAGGCCTTGGTCTGGGCAAGCAGTGGTGACACGTAGGGGGTGTACGGGAGTGCACATGCACCCCATGACCAGCCATGCTCACTGCTTAGGCAATGGGCGGGGGGGGGGAAGGAGCGGCAGGGGGGGAGGGGGGGGGGGGGGGGCAGGAGCGCCAGCGGGGGAGTGGAGTGCCGTGACACTTCAGGAAGCAGCTCCAGCGATTGGCTATCTCGCGATTGGCCACAGGGGAAACACCACCCCCCAGCAAGATTGCCTGAGGGGGGACCCCCCCCAGTCAGTGGGGGGGGGGCATGTGCCCCCCCCCCCCCCCCCCCCGACTAAGGTGGCATCAGTCGCCCATGCTGGGAAGAGAATTGAGGCCTATGTACTACCCAAGAGACATAATGGCTTGGATCTCTCTTAAGGGACAAACATTCACTCACCCTTGCCCGTGGCTGGATGTCCTTCTTTCTGCACTATGCAGAGTAATCAGAGAGGCTATGGCAGACCGGTAGAGCAAGCTGTGTCCTTAACATAATACATACAACAGGTTCCTCTGTCCTCGCACAGTGCAGGATACAAATCGGAGTCCTGGCCCCCAGCCTTTTCTGCAGGGGTTCACTTGCTTTGGATGGAAGTGAGTGTTAGTTGAACTGATTCTCCTTACGATTGAAGGGTTAATCTCAAAACTAAGGAGTTAGGGGCTTTCCCCCTGGGGCCCATTGGGAGGCTTTAGAAGTAGGTTTGTGCATTTGACATTTAGTGTTTCAGCTCAGAAACAGGAGTGCAGGGAAGCAGTCTGAGGAAAACCTGACATTTCCCTCTTGATCAGTGAGTTTATAAAATCCATCTGATTGGTGAAGGTGCGATCCCTGCTGTGCTGAGTAGATGAGGTTCTTTGCCCTAATCCAGTGCACTCATGAAAACGAGATTGAGGAAACCTAGTCCTGGATTGCAAGTAGCTACAGGAGTCCTATAAAAGGTTTTTGCAAGGAATTTTTAACACTTGGCAATAAAGGCAAAAATGAAGGTGCATAGACTATGATTAGACAAGGAAGAATTTGTTAGATTGCAGAAAAGCTCTACTGTAGCTGCTAAGGAGTGGAATAAGGTCTGTAGTGACAGCATAAATTTGTTAAACTTGGGCCCAGAATGGACATATGTCTAGCTGTTGATGTTCCTGCATTTACTGAATGTTGATAAATAAGTGTTATCACCAGGCATCAAGGAAGGGAGCTGGCAGAGCAGCCTATGCTATTCTCCTATCCCGTTGTTCTGTGTCTAATATAGGTTTTTCTCTACAGATGCTTCATTCAGTGGGACGCCACCTAGCTATGCCTATGATGCTGACCGCGCCGAAGAACAGCGGCGACACCATGACATGATGCCCTACATTGATGACTCACCGTCATCATCACCACATCTCAGTTCCAAGAGTCGGGGCAGCCGAGATACCCTCTCTTCAGGGTCTCTGGAGTCCACAAAATCAGTGAGTCCTTTTAGTCATCTCTTTGCTTGGAGATAGCATGGCTTAGGGTAGAGTGTTTCAAGGAAGGGGATGTATCAGCAACAGACAAGAACTGAGACCACTGGTGTGGAAAGAAGGACTGATTGATCTGTGAGTGGCTGTGTGGAAGCCTTTATGCCTTTCATATATTTGTCTCACTTGTTATGGATTTGTAATCTGTATTTGCAAATTGGGGGCCAGGCTTTTGTTTTTTTCAGTTCTACTGATATAAATAACCCTAGTGAATCAGTGAGGTTGCTTAATGAATCAGTGTTGTAGAATCAATCTCAACTACCAGCTGTAAGAAGATATACTTAGGAAGTACACGGTAATGGTACTATGGAATGTGTTTTGAAAGAATATTTGAGTTGCATGTAGATAACCACATGCTTTGACAAGTGTTTAAACATGGTAAAATCTATTTAATTTGAACACTGGGTGACAGATGGAATTAAAACTGCCAACCTGCCAAGCTCTTAAGTGTAGTGACCATGTACTTGAAGGAGCTGCTTTTGGTGAAAAATTTTATCTGCACTTAATAGCTATTAATGTAACCATCTATAATAGATTAGTAGATTTTAAGGCCATTGTGATAGTTTAATCTGACTTCCTGCATGACAGAGACCACAGAACTTTAAACCTCAAATTCAGTACCTGGTCTTGAACCGAAGCTTCCCTTTTTTAGACCAACCTTAGGGGGTGGGGTGTATATGTATATATTATGTATACTAGCCAAGTGCCCTTTAAGAATGACCTGGGGGGGGAGAGGGGGCGGGGCAGGCGGGGATGGAGGGCCACCACCCACCGCCCTCCCTATGTTGCTGTCCCAGTCTGTCCCCGCCGTTGTCCAACATGACGGGGGGGGAGCAGGCGGGGACAGAGCACCACCACCCAGCAGCCCACAGTGCCACCACTCCACATCCGGCCCTGTGCACCTCCCCCACTGGATCTGCCTCTGGCCCTGTGTGCACCACCCTCTAGCTCCATGTGCCAAAGCGGGCGGGGTGGGGGCACCTACCTGCTCCAGACCCTCAGTCCCTACCATCATGGGGGGTGGGGGCCAGGCAGGGACGTGGCCAGCGAGGACTGAGGGCCTGCTGCAGCCCTGCTTCTCAGAGGCAGAGGGGGACAGTGCCGCCATGACAGCAGGGACTGAGGGACTGGGGGGGGGAGGGGGGACTGAGGGCCTGTTGCAGCCCTGGTCCTTGGAAGTAGAGGGGGATGGCGCCGCCATGACAGCGGGGACTGAGGGGGGGCAGAGCAAGCCCAGCGGCTCAGACCTCGCCCCTCACTCCGTCCTCTCTGTACCCTCCGTCCTTACTGTTGTGGTGATGCTCCACCGCGCCGCCGCCTCCTGTCTTGAATGCTCTTGGAGTGCTCTGGTGCCGAGACAACCAATCGGAGTGCGACTAAAGTGTTACAGACAGACAGACAGAAAACCTAAGGTTTTTATAACATTAGAATGTCTGTCTGTCTGTCTGTCTGTCTATTGTATGTGCGTGTGTATATATTAAATCCTCTTGTGCAGAATCTACCACAGATCCAGGTAAGGGGCTCCCATGATGAATTACCATCACTGTTTAAAAAAAAAAAAAAAAAAAATTGTCTGCTAGCCTGAAGAGCCCTTCATTTTTGTTCTCCATGTAGGTACTTTATTGTCTTTGATCAAGTCTCTTTGAGAAGCTAAATAAGAGCTCTTGAAATCTCTGATCATCAAGTCATATTTTTCAATCCTGTGATCATTACCATGGTTGTTCTCTGAATCCTCCCCATTGTTTTTCAAGATCGACAATGGGAAGCAGGAACATTAGCACTGGATGCGTTATTTCAGTAGTGCTTACACAGTGCTAAATACATAGGTAATATAACCTCTGTACTCCTGCTGGTATGTTCCCACTGTGTATCACTCCAAGAATTGTTTGTTCCTGTGACCACAGCATTGCACTAAGAGCAGTTCCTGTTCAGCTGATTCTCTCTCATGACTCCCAAGCCTTTCCAGAGTCACTTCTGCCCAGGATCAGTCTCTTATCCTTTTAGGTATGGCCTGCATTCTTTCTTCCTAGACACATGACTGGCTGTATTGAAATACATACAGTTTGCCAGAGCCAAGGTTACCAAACAGTTCATCTCACTCTGTACTACTGACCTCTCCTTTTCATGAGTTACCACTTCTCCAGTCATCTGCAAACATTATCAGTAGTAAAGATTTTGTGCTTTTTCCAAAGCACCGATAAAAATGTTGAATAGCACAGAGCCATGATCTGATCCCTGTCAGAGCCACATTAGAAACAGACACTCAAGGATGATTTCTTCTTAATCATTTTACTAGCCTTTATTGTTGGCCATGTTGATTTTTGCATTGTTCTGGGTTATTAATCAAGATTCTGTGCAGTACCAAGTGAAATGCTTTAAGCAATCTAAGTATATTAAATAAATGCATTTTATACCTTTGATTAATTGAATTTATAATCTGATAAGAATATAAATTTAGTTTGACAAGATCTGTCTTCCAAAAACCCAAGCTGACTGATATTGATTATATTACCTCCCTTAATTCTTTATTAATTGAGTAGTACATAAGGTATTCTGTTACTTTTTCCAGGTTTGACTTAAGAGGCTTATAATTACTTGGGTCATCCTGGTTTTAAACATTAATGTTAGAACTTACTGAAAAAAGTAATATTGAAGGTCCAGAGATCTCCTCAACCAACTTCTATATATTTCTTGTATGCGAGGTGTCAGGACCACTGATTTAAAAACACTTGACTTTAGTCACTGGTGCCTTGATTATTGAGGCAGGGAAAGGTATTTTTGCATTATCTGGGTTTTTTTCCCCACTTACCAAGCACTTCTGCCATTCTGATAATTCTGCCATGTTACATGGACCAATATTATTGTTAAAATTCCTTTTGCTCTTAATATGCTTCAGAACTCCTTTTAGTATGTCTAAATCTCTTGGCCATAGATTTCTCCTTCCACTCTTGCTTTTCTTACCAATTTTCTCCATTCCTTGGTTTCAAAATCTATATACGTTACCATCAACTTCCTCTTTTTCCATTTGTTGTTTTATAGCTATTTTTACTTTCTTTTACTTCAGTTTCCTCTTAAGGCAGGTCAGGTTTTGCTGTGCTTTGTTTTGTTTGTAGACGTATAACCGTCTCAATCAACTGTGGGATTTTGGGGTTTTGGAAATCTAATAAAATTTCACTTAAGCAGCTCCCTATTACTATTTACCTCTTTATGTTTAATTTCTTCCTTCTCAGCTGATTCAGTACATAACTGTCTTCGGTTTTGTGAAATTGGGCCTTTTAAAGCTCCAAATCTCTGGGTTCTGGTTTAGACTTTTATTCTGTGTGCACATAACAAAGATAATCACGTTATGGTCACTTGCACTAGAGCAACCACTAATTTTTAGTTTTGAGAACAATATTTTGCATGTTCAAGGTCGGAGCCAGCATGAGACTTCCGGTGTATGTTCCTCAAGTTGAAATTCCCCAGGCAGTTTTTTACCCCTGTGTAATTTAGAGAGGCGTTCCAGGATGGGTCCTCTTGCTCCTGGGCGTGACTCTGGTCTGCACCACGCACCAGGTTGTACCCCATTTTGTGCTTTGTCTTTTAGAACATTAATTCAGAATCACTCGCGTCCATTTGCTTCTGACTTGTCAGGGACTCAGAAACCAGTAGTGCCATTTTTGATGTGGCTTTACCTACTCAGTCCTTCCTAAATAGTTTTTAGCATGCGATTTTTAACTTTCAAATCATGTGAATCTTCCCACCACGATTCAGTAATACCTGCGAGGTTGAATTTGTGCTCATAAATGAGTAATTCTGATTTCTCTTGTTTATTACACGGGCTCCTTGTGTTGACAATTAATTTCTTCTCTTCGTATCCCTTGGTGCCTTGATTAGTTTCATTCTTGACATCTTGATTTTTATGCTTAATGAGGGTTTCTTAGTTTCCATCCTGCCTTTTGTTGAGAGCTGGCCAGCCTAGTCAGCCTGTCCTTTTCATGTCTGCTTCCCCTTATGCTAAGACAGCTTTTATCCATGGCTTTTAACACCCTTTTCCCAATTGAAGATGTGCCTGTGTCCCATAAAACCAAAGCACACTTGGTGATAGATAGTCCTTTTCTCTCATCAGCAGTTTATTTCTGGAATCTTCTGCTTTCTACCTTGGCTTTACTCTCAGGACAGGAAGCATCTCCCAGGGGGTTACTTAGACCTTCTCCTGTTTCAGCACCCTTCAGAGAGACCTGAAGTTGTCCCTAATCGGTGAGGTATCATGTTAGGTTGTCATGAGTGCCAGTGGGACCAGGGGATTTGCAGTTGCTGATTTCAGATTAAAGATTTGTTTTAATATAACTTTAAAAAAAAACCACCTTTCCTCTCCCTCTGATAACCATAAGGGCAGTCGACTCTAGTTCAGGAACATTTAACTCTTTGTTAGTTTTGTGACTTATTAAAGGCACAGCACAGTTTTTCATAGTTTCATAAATGTTAGGGGCTGGAAGGGTTTAGGTTGTAGCCGTGTTGGTCTAAGGATATAGGCAGACAAGGTTCCTTGGGTGAATTTGATATCTTTTATTAGACGAACCCAAATGGTTGGAGAATAGTTATTAAGCAAGCTTTCGGGTTCAAAAACCCTTCGTCAGGCTCAGGAAGCTCTGCGCTTGGGCAGGAAAAGTGGGTGTCAAGATACTTTTTGAAGATCGTCAAGGGGGGTGACTACCACCTCTGTGGGGGAGCCTGTTCCAAACCCTCGGCTCTCGACTTGTAAAGAAGTTTTTCCTTTGTCTAGCCTGAAGTGATCTTCAGTCAGTTTGCGCACATTATTTCTTGTCTTCCACCTGGGGGGCCTTGGTGAATAGATGCTCCCCCAGGCCCTGACGTACACCCCAGATATAGGCTGCCACCAAGTCCCCTCTGAGTCTTCTCTTCTCCAGGCTGGACAGTCCCATGTTTTTCAGCCTCTCATATGCTTT